TTGGTCCAGTGGTGAGGATTTTTTGTTTTCTTTACATTGAGATGCAACCTATACTGAAGGTTGGATCTTTGACCTTCATCATCACTTTTAGCAAACAGGGTTGTATCATTTGCATATTGAAGATTGTTAATGAGTCTTCCTCCAATCCTGATGCCATGTTTTTCTTCATAGAACCCAGCTTCTTGGATTATTTGCTCAGCATACAGGTTGTGTAAGTACAGTGAAAGAATACAACTCTGGTGCATACTTTCTTGATTTAAAACCATTCATTGTTCCCTGTTCTTCTGCCAAGGCACAGCAGGTTTAAATCACTTGAATTCTGGTGCTGGAGAAGAATATTGAAAGTACCATAGACTGCCAGAATAACTAAGAAATCTGTCTTAGAAGACATACAGCCAGAATGCTGCTTGGAGGTTTGGATGGTGAGACTTCATCTCTCATTACTTTAGACATGTTATCAAGAGGTACCAGTCCTTGGAGAAGGACATCACGCTTGGTAAAGTGGAGGCTCAGTGAAAACAAGGATGACCCCCCCCCCAATGAGATGAATTGACAACAGTAACAGCACCAATGGGCTCAAGCATAAAAAAACAACAACAATCAAGATTCTAGCAGAATTTTTTCTAGAGAATAACAAGAAATGATACTAAAAATGAAAGATAACTAAAAAACTTAAAATTACTGAAACTAATTTCAGAATAGAAGGAAAACAGAAACATATGGTATGCCAAATTCCAACATGGCCCCAAATTCCCAGTTCCCGGCATACTCTCTTCCCCCGTGTGTCAGTATGATTAACTAGTTATTATTTTTACAGTTGTTCTCTTCATTTGAGTTGTGTCCCATCAGCAAATAAAGGTCCTGAAAGCTTTACTCCCTTTGTGTCATCACGGTCCATTCTACTTTGAGGAAACAGCTCCTCCCCAGTTGTATGTTGAGTTCCTTCCAACCTGAGAGGCTCAGCTTCCTGCACGATATCTGACAGTATTCATGCTCCTCATCATGCTTCAGTAGTCAGTATTCTGGTGCTCATAGCATTCCCCAGCTAGTCATAATTTTTTGTGGCTAAATATTTGGAGGTAGTCTGTCTTTTCTTCTTCTTAATCTGTCTTTGTCTGGAAGCTCACTGACACCTGTCCACTGTGGGTGACCCTACCCATGTCATAGCTTCCAGAATCACAGCAACACACAAGTCAACACAGTATGACAAACTGACAGACAACTGGTGGCAGACAATGTATACATAAAGTCACTGTACCAAAAAGAAATGGTCGATGTTCAGGCATTTCAAGAATTAGCATGTGATCAAGAGCCAATGATAATGAAGTCCAAGGTGCACTGAAGGCATTGGCAAAGAACAAGCCTCCTAGAATTGATGGAATACAAACTGTATGAAATCTTTTACCAAACTGATGCTGCACTGGAGGCACTCACTCATCTATGCCAAGAAATTTGGAAGACAGCTCCCTGGCCAACTGACTGGAAGAGATCCACATTTGTACCTAATCAAAGAGAATTGACACAGCAGAATGCGGAATCATAGGACAAAATAATTTATATCACATGCAAGTAAAATTTTCCTAAAGGTAACCCAAAAACAGCAGCAACCACACATTGATAGAGAACTTTCAGAGGTTCAAGCCAGATTCAGAAGAGGATGTGAAATGAGAGAGATCATTGGATCTTGGCTGAAAGCAGAGAATAGCAGAAATGTATTTCTCTGTGCTTTATTGAGTATGCAAAGGCTTTCAATTGTGCAGAACATGATAAACTATGAATAACGTTGTGGAGAATGAGTAGTCTGAACACCTAATTATGCTCATGAGAAATCTGTACATAGACCAAAAGGCAGTTGTTTATAACAGACAAGTTTTAAAATTAGGAAGGTGTGCACCAGGGTTGTATTCTTTCACCATACTATTCTGTCTGGACACTCAATAGATAATCCAAGAAGCTGGATTATTTAAAAAAAGAACATGACACCAGGATTGGAGAAAGACTCCTTGACAACTGCAGTATGCAGATCATACCACCTTGTTTGGTCAAAGTGAAGAGGACTTAAAATACTTACTGATACAGGTCAAAGACCACAGCCTTCAGTATGAGTTTCACCTCAATGTAAAGAAAAAATAAATCCTCACCAGTGAACCAATAAACAACATTCACATAAATGGAGAAAATATTGAAATTATCAAAGACTTCATTTTGCTCAGCTCAACCATCAGCACTCATGGAAGCAGCAGTCAAGAAATTAAATAATTTACTGCATTAGGCAAATCTGCTGCCCCAGACCTCTTTAAAGTGTTGAAGAACAAAGATGTCAGTTTGAGGACTACGATGTGCCTGACCCAAGCCATGGTATTTTCAATAACCTAATATGCAGGAGTTGGACAATGAGTAAGGAAGACTGTAGAAGAACTGATGCATTTGAGTTATGGTGTTGGAGGAGAATATTGAAAGTGTCATGGGCTGTGAAAAGAACAAACCAATTTGTGTTGGGAGAAGTGCACCCAGAAGCCAGGGTGGCCAAGCTTTGTCTGTCATACTTTGGACATATTATCAGGAGGGACCAGTCCCTGGAGAAGAATATCATATTTGGTAAAGTGAAGGATCAGAGAAAAAGAGGAAGGACCCTAATGAAATGGATTAACACAGTGGCAGCAACAGTGGGCTCAAGTGTTATAACTAATGTGAAATTGGCATAAGATCAGGCAATGCTTCGTTCTGTTGTGCATAGGGTTGCTTGAGTCAGCACTGACTCAATGGTACCTAACAACAACCACGGTTGTTGTTAGTTGTCATTTAGTCAGCTCCAATGCATGACAATACCATGTGCAACAAAACAGAACATTTCCTGGTCATGTGTCATCTTCTTGATTGTTGATATACTTGTGGCAGTTGTTTCAGCTACTTTGCATTTTGAGTGTCTTCCAACCTAGTGGGTTCATCTCCCAACACTATGCTAGGCAGCATTCTGTTGTAATCCATATGATTTTTAGTGGCTAATTTTGGAAGAAGATCACCACCTCTTTCTTTCTAGTCTGTCTTTGGAAGCTGCACTGAAAACTGTCAATCATGGGTGACCCTACTGGGAACTGAAATGCTGATAGCTTCCAGAATCATAGCAATACACAAAATACCACAATGTAACAAATTGACAGGGATCAAAATTAGTGACATTTTTGTAAAGTAACTTAAAAGAAAGCCTTGATCTCTCTATTTGATGACAGAAAATATCAAATAATCTGTACTCCATTGAATTTTGAGGAGATAACATTGAGATTTAATATAATAAATATGTAAAGCCCACTAGCAAAAATCTACCTTTAAATTCAGTTACCATTAATTCTCAGAACATTTTAAGTCTGTAGTGAAATGAACAGTCTAAAACTGTGGATAATTTAAAAATCTTGCATTGTGCCTGGAACATTTCTTTTACCAGATCTTGATGATAGTTAACCTTAAGTTAGTAATCATTTTCTTTTTCTTTTTAATATCTTGTATTTTTATTAACTGACTGTGAAAATGGTTGAACCAGAAGTGGGATAAATGACTGTGGACCCAAATCTGGTCTGAAAACTCGGTGTATGAGCTGCCATTGTAATTACTGTGTAGTGTGTTTTATTATGATGCCATCAATGTTCATAACATTGTAAATTTGAAGGGTGAATTTTTTTTCCTGGCCGAGATTACACACGTCCCCACTGACACAGTTGGAAAAGAAGTTGGAACCCTTCTTCTGATTGTTCCTTGTGAGCTATCGCTACAAGGTGTTCTTAAAAACTGGCATTACACACAGTTTCTTATTTTTAATAGTCACCTGTGTAACAGAGATGACGTTTAAGAAATTAAAGTTGTTTCTGTTTTTTAATGGTCTTTAGTCTGTTGTGCTGTCAAGCCATTTGCATCTCATTGTGACCCCGTATCAGGTTTCCAAGGAGTGACTGGTGAGTTTGAACTGCTGACCTTGAGATTCAAACCAACCTTGTGGTTGAGTGCTTATCCTGTAGCATCATACCAGGAGACATCACTCTGAACAGGCTTTGATCCTTCCCTTGGGAGGTTCCCTTTTCCATGCTCCATATATTGTCATTTACAAAAGCAGTGCATTTTAATTTTTTCTTCTCAGTTTTACTCTGAAGGTTAAGTAAGACCTTGGACCACTCATTTAGCTATTTTATTTGAGCTCCCCTTTGTAAGATAATAAATTGGGTAGGCTACTTGATTTTGATGGTTATGTTGCAGATGAGGCAAACAAGCCTCTAGAACTCAGATCAACATATCTGTCTTTCCAAGAGAATTGGGAATCTGCTTTAGTTTCTCAATGTAGCGAGAGCCCTGACTAAGACTGTCTAACTTTATAGATTAACTGGAAATGCTACTGTTGCCTATTTTATAGCTGTGGAAACTTGAGAATGTGAAGATTAATCTAAAGCACATGATAGGTTGAAGGAAAAGGGACGTACATTACTGTTTCTTGAATGTGTGCAAACTGTACAGTGGGGGATGGGATCAGAGAGAGCCACAAGTGAACTGTTGAGCCCTCTTGAGAGGAATCAAACTGGTACAGTTAGCTCTGACTTGGAGCATTTCTTCATGATGACCCTCTTGTCTCTCCCTCAAAAACAAATAAATCCCTTTGCCCAACAAAGAGAATACTTTGGGGAGATCAAGGAAAGAGGAGAGATGGCCCAGTTGTTAACACTAATGAAATGAATCTACAACTATCTCTCCAGTCATTAGCTGGTTTACTGATTTCCGGTTTAATGTAGATTCCAATTCTGGCAGCAGCAATGGGCTCAAACATAGCACAGATTGTTAGGTTGGGCCAGGATCGGGCAGTGTTGTGTTTTGTTGTGCAAAGGGTCACTATGAGTCAGTACCGACTCGATGGCACCTAACAACAATTCTGTTGGGTTCTTTAAACAATCAGTGACACAAGGATTTGCACATTATAGGAAGTTGGTGAATTGAAAACAAACTATTCTTTTTCTTTGCAGTTTGTTGTATCAGTGTTCTGGATCATTTATGCCTATGACAGAGAGATGATTTACCCGAAGCTGCTTGATAATTTCATCCCAGGGTGGCTGAATCATGGAATGGTGAGTGGACTCAAACAAATGACTTCGTTTTATTAAAAATATCTATTAGAGAGCTATTTTTAAATCTAAATTTTTCCCCATAAAAATCTACTTAGTTGTGAAATATTGGGGGATTATAATTAGAGAAGAATCCTGTATGTAAATAAAAAACCTCTTCCCATGGAATTGAGTCATTATTAAGATTATAAAGTAGGTGACTCTGTTGATTGTAAGAAGGCTTGCTGGTATTCGATGATATCATAGGCTCACTCCAGGGATAAACCTAATGTCTGTGCTGTAGAAAGATGTTTCCCCTATTTAAGGGGTAAGAATTGATTCCCAACTACAAAACTATTCACACCCCACTCCACCTCCACTTTACATCATGGGATTGTGTTTGAAGTAATTATTATATTTGGAGAATCCCCTCCTCCTCCGGCCTCCCCCAGAGGAGCAGTAAGCCTGTTATTTTTCCTTAAAGAACCATTGCAAGCACTTGGGGGTGTCTTCAGCAGTGGCAGTGTCTGCTTTGTTTGGTTCTGCCCATCCTGGGGGTTGTCTGTGGCCTCGAGATTTCTTTCTTCCTGGTCTAATTTTTTTTCTGATGTTTTACATGGTGCTACCTTCACTAGTTTCAAGTCAAATCATGTTCACATTATTTTACAAGATTTAAAACTATGTTTTCTGCCAAGAAATGTTGTGTTGTCCTAGCTCTCTGCTTCTGGAACTGAGTGAGCATTGTTTTGTTATTAGCTACAAAGCCTGCTTTTTGGTTACAGCAATTTTTAGAATATGTCACTGGGTGTTCCTAGTGAAAAGGGCAACCCATCACAGAAATTATAGGGGAATGAAGAGCTAGAAATCACGAGTCTTGGGTCCAAAATAACAGTTTCCCTTCTGCCCCCAATTGTGGTATATTTTAAGAAAAGTGGTAAGTATTAACAAATATTACTCTACTGAGAGACTTTGAGCAATCTTTTCTGACATCACCTCATCCTAGATAGCCCATCTCAGGGAACTGGAATTTTCTTTGATTTTAATTAGAGTAACAATGGTGAAGGCTTAACCGGTCATCTGGTCAAGCGTCAGACAAAGAATTTGAGTCTAATATGTCCACCTTAGGTACCTGCGAGTTCTGGCATGCGTGCTCTTCTTCTCTCAAAGTTTTTCTCTTTCTTGAATGTGAAGTCTTTCAGGAAGTCAGGAGCTCGCAGTGCTCTGCTTTCATTGCCCTTCACAATTCTTTACTGGCAAGTTCCTGCTTCCTTTTTGTGGTTGTTGTTGTTGTTACTATTGAGTCATCCTCAAACTCATGGTGACCCAATGCACAACGGGATAAAACACTGCTCAGCCCTGGACCGTCCCATGAATGGCAATGGCTTGGACCATTGTCATCCACAGGGTGTCCATTGGCTTGTCATCCTAGTCCACCTAAGTCGAAAAACTCTGCTGAAATCTGTTCAGTATCATTTGTTGTTGCTGTTGTTGTGATGGTTCTGACTCAGAGCAGCCTTTTCTGGGGCTCCCGCGGCTATGAATCTTAGTGTGAGCAGAGAGCAGTGTGTAACTTTCCACTGACAGAAAGGTTGAAGCCCAGGTTTCTCCAGTGGAAGGTGTGAATTCCACCACTAAACAACCACTGTCCCCTTGGCAGTTGCTGTGAACTTACGTGACTCCTTGTCAAAGTAGAACTGTGCTCCATAGGTTGGTTTTGTTTTTGTTTTCTTTCAATTTTGCTGTTGTTGAGAATATACACAACAAAACATACAGCAGTTAAACAGTTTCTACATGCAGTTTAGTGACACTGATCATGTTCTTCAAGTTGTTCAGTCACCTTCCTTTTCTGAGGTGTTCCTTCTCCATTAACATCAACTCAATGCCCTCTAAGATTCCGGTGTAATTTTTTTGAGTTGTCGTTTTCAGTTTGATCCCATATATTGTTGTTGTTGTTGTTAAGTGTCATAGAGCTGGTTCCAACCCCTAACGACCCTTTATAGGGTTTCTAAGGAGAGACTGTGGAGCTTGAACCACTGACCTTGTGATTTAAACAACTTTGCAATCCAGCGCATTAGCCCACATCACCATACCAGGACTCTCTATATAGATAGGTCTTAGGAAAGCAAATTCCACCCCTCTCTTTTTTTTTTTACTAGCTAAGCTAAAATATTGTTTCACTAAACACATTATAATACTAATTAACTATGATGTATGAAATCAGACCCTAAACTTCCAAACCAAGGAGCCAAATTCCATGAGGTGTTTAGTTGTACATAAACAGCCTCTATAGGTGCTCTTTGTTGTTGGTGGTGTAAATACGTCCATCTATTCAACATTTTACAAGTGTACAGTTTACTGACAGCAATTACAATAGTCAGCTGTGCACCTCTGCCAATAGTCCATGTCATGTTTTCCATCACTTTTAGCCCCCACTTCCCTTCTCCCCTCTCTCTGTTAAGCACTAATAGGTTTTCATCTCTACATTTGCCTTTTCTTATCTTTGTATATAAGCAGGTCATACAGTGTTTATCCTTTTGTGATTGACTTATTCATTCAGCATAATGTCTTCAGTCTCCAGTCATATGTAGCATGTATCAAGACTTCATTTCTCCTGTTGGTTGAATAGTATTTCATTGTACGCATGGACCACATTGTGTTTATCCTTTCTTTTGTTGATGGACGTTTTGGTTGTTTCCAAGTTTTGGCTATTGTAACTAGTTCTGCAATGATAGTCGTGCTCTGGTAGCGTAGTGGTTATGAATAGGCTTGCTAACCTCAAGGTCAGCAGTTCAAAACTATTTCCATGGGAGAAAGATGAGGCTTTCTGCTCCCGTAAAGATTCACATCCTCGGAAACCCTGTACTGGGTCTCTATGAGTTGGAACCGACTCCACGGACACATTATCACCACCAGTCTCTTCTCACGTTTCTGCTTTCAAGTCTTTTGAGTAATGCTGATTTTTCAGAAGTAGGCCTTTTTTTTTTTTTTTGCTAAGGTACCTCTTTATGGGCTTGAACCCCTAGTCTTTCAATTAGAAGCTGAGCACATTAATTGTTTGGACCATCCAGAGGCTTTACCGCCCCCTTAGAGTTAGCTTGTATACCATTTTCCCTAAGAAGACTTTCTTAACTCTCTCAGAAAAAGCTAGCTATTCTGTTATTTATTTGACACACACTGTTTAACTTCTCTGTTCTACATGCTATTCCAGTGGTGGTGGTGGTGGTTATGTGTCTCAGAGTCAGTTCTGACTCATAGCAACCCTCCCTGCATGGGGTTTCGAAGGCTGTTAATCTTTACAGGAGCAGAAAGCCTCATCTTTTTCCCACAGAACCGCTGGTAGTTTCGAACTGCTGACCTTGGGATTAGCAGCCCGATTCATAACCGTTCTGCTACTAGAGCTCCTTTCTGCATTACAGTAGCCTCCAAGAATGTTAAGCTCTTGATGCAAACCCAACTTTTGAATCTCCAGCATTTTGCCCAGGCTTATGGCATCTATTAGAATCAATATATATTTATGAAGTTGATGAGTGAATTCAGAATAGTCAGTTCCATATTTTGCCAGTCAAAACTAATAGTTACTATTATGGAGAAACTACGGTGTGCTGGAGTCTAAGTGTGGGGCAGTAGGATAAGCACTGGACTTCTAACCACAGGTTGGTGGTTAAAACCCACTAGCCACTCCTTGGAAACCCTACACAAGGACCACTATGAACCAGAACTGACTAAATGGTACTTAACAACAACAGCAATTGTGTGCCAGACATTCTATAGTTGTTATAAACCAAACTAAACACATGCCATATAGTCATTTTCAACTCCTGCATACCCTATATATGGTTTTCAAAACTATAAATCTTGATGGAGCAGAGAGCTCATCTTTTTCCCTCAGACCTGCTGGTGGGTTTGAACCACTGACCTTGAAGTTAGCAGCTCAACATTTATCCCACAGCTCCACAGAGCTGGTTTTTATAACATCATTTAATGTTCACAGGAGCGCTATGAACTAGGAATCATTATCCCATTTGCAGATGAAGAAACTGAAGTTTAGAAAGGCTGCATAAAATATCTCAAATCACTTAGCTCAGGATAGTAGAGCAGGGGCCTGAGTCTGGGTCTTTCTGTTCTCAAATACGTACTTTTTCTATCACTTTACATTTTATATGAAAAAACAAACTATGAATTGATTCTTCATATAAACCGTAATTTTCTATCGGGTTTGCAATTGCCAAATAAGAACATACAGGAGAAACATCTTCAGGATATGTTAAAATATCATTTCCAACTGCGTAGCTTATATCAGCTATCTGAGATAAACTAGCTAGTAATTAAGCAACATTAAAAAAAAAAAGCAAAAAACCAGCTTGAGGACATTCATGACTCCCCACAGTAGAATTGCATATGGGAATGGGCTTTGCAAATAGTCACCGCAGATATGAAACCAAAGACAAATTGTTACATGTGCAGCGAGGAGCAGACTTCAGTCACAAAGCTGGCATATTCTTGTACAGTAATCGTTCTTGGTTGCATTATCTCAAGATACGAGCAAGAATGATGTCATCTAGAGAACTTTCCATTATGTATCCAAACTGAATGGAGTAGCAAAGGGACACTTTTGGAGCTGCTGCCTACCGTTGAAAAGGAAATAATATCAGATACACTGACCTTTGTTCTGACACCAGGAAGGGATTAGCTGAGGACAAATGGTTACATCATGTGCTATCAAAGGACAGTCTTGACTATTTGGACTGTTGCCTCTGTCCCTAAATTGCACAAGATTACCATGAGGGCTGAACATAACCCACACATTAGTAGGTCCTGGTTATAAATTTCTAATGTTTCCAATGAATGGCATATGAAGCATGTATGCAGCTTTTACAACTTTATAGCTTGAGTCTCCTTTCAGGAGTTCCTCCTCAATCACTTTGATGGGTAAGAGTTCTCACTCTAGGAGGCAAATCCTGCTTAGGAACCCAGGAGGATTTGAATAACATAAATACTTAGGTAAGAAAACAGGTAAATTAATT